CTTGCATCCGAAACTGAACTGTAGAATGTAACACGGCACAAAGAAGAAAATTCCCAAGGATGCATGATCTTCAATAGTCAAAACTGGGACTTTTTGGAAAAGAGGGTGTTCTCCAGAAGGATGAACAAGTGCACTCTTTCAGGTAAGTTAAAAGTTTGGTAATGACTGAAAGAAGCCAGAATGACACAGAAATTGCTAAGGAAGGGTGGGGAAAAAAAAATCTATAAATATAGAGATGTATCTGCTTTGAATAAAAATAAAAGCACACAACAAAAAACACAAGTGCAAGCAACTGACCACAAGGTGCTTTCTGAGGATGATCTCATTCAAACTATGTTAAAACTAACGTTAAAACTAATCATATCTGTAAAAATTATGTATAAACAAAGTTATTGAATATCACCACTTATTGCAGTTGTATCACAACTTAGGTATCAAAATTAATCATCTACCTTTCACAAAGTACTGCAAGGTTTGTTATAATGCAACATAACCTACAGAAAACGAGTAATGTCAGTATTTTATTAAAAATTTCAATCTTAACTTAGTGCAGATCTAGGTTCCATTAGGCCATGAGTAAGGTGTTTTGTCTCCAAATGTGAAATAAAAAACAAGCTGACCACTCTTTAATCTTAGAAAGTAACCAAGAAAGTCAGTCTCCAGTTTTTATTCCCTGCTTGTGGGATTTGGGTACGTGTGCCTATGTTCTTTGGAAGAGCTTTGCTAAACAGTTAAGTTTCTCACTTATTAGAGGCTGGGGCCAAATGTCACTCTGAGTAATTACATGTATTGGCTGAGCTGAAATTTTTTCTACAGCTTCACTTTTTCTTTCTGTTGAACAAGGTGTTTTTATGGAGTAGTGTGGTTACTGCATTCAGCCCCATACATAGCCTCAGTTTGTTTTGCAACTGAAATCCCAACAGATAACATATCTACAACAATAATATCACAGCCCAGACATGGACTTAATGGGAGTCATACTATAAGAATACATATTGAAGATCTGACCCAGAATGATAGGGGTTTTTTACCCCCCAAAGCATCAAAACCAAGGCTTCTGGAAGTCAGCGTAATTTGATTAATTTAGGTAGGCCTGTCTTGCTGTGCACGGTTACAAGAGATCTATTAAGGCTTTCTCTCCTTGTTTCTTGAGGGTAAAGACAGTCTTACATCTGCAGTGAAGTGCCTCAAGGCAGAATACAGTAATGGACAAGTATTCTTACAAATTCTACTATAAAAAAAAAAAGAAAAAGAAAAATACAAAAACCCCAAACACACACAAAAAAAATACCAAACCCCAAACAACCCCCCACAATTCTGATATAATCTTAGCAAAAGCAACCACTGCTAAAAATAGAAGCTGTTTTGATTCCCCTCTCCACAACTTAAAGATCTTAAGTGCTGCAACTAATGGCTCAGTTCAGTTTTTTCAGCCCTTTTATGTGTTTATTTTTAAACCAAGTGATATTTACTGCAGTCTTACTACTTCACCCAAATTTAGCAAGAAGTTATAAATTATGCCCATATAAACAAGTGCAGTATGCTTTTAATTTCCAGAAAATTCTCTTCTGTAGCTGTATTCCAAAATGATACTTCAGCTTTTTACAAAACCACTAGCATAAGGATTTTAAATGTAATGAAACTGACAGACACTAAGGAAAGCCTAAGCATGCTAAAAAAGCTAAGTTTATGCAGTTGTTCGAGACATAATTAACCTTTAGTGTATTTTGTCTACAAAGGTAACTTAATGGTCTTCTTTCTGAAAATATAGCTAAAAAGAAGCATCTCCTTACTAGGTCACACGTCTGAATACAAATTATCAAAACATGACCTAGTTCTGAAAAGCAAAAAGTAGAATACATTTTAAATGAGATTAAAGCATTTAACTCAGATAGAAAAAGAACAAAGTAGGAGATCGGAAATATTTTTCCCTGGCTATACAACATTCTCAGTGGTAAATACTAATTTGAAAATGGTTTCTCCTCATTAACCACCTCACAACATTCTAGTTGTTCCCAGGCAGGAAAAATATCATTATCATTTTCAATATACAGATTCATTGCAGTAACCAAATGCAAATAAAATGTCCCCATAGTTCCACAAAAACTACATTCTGTAATGACAGATCACTTCTTCAGAAAAAAAAAAAGGAAAAGAGCTAAGAACCTCTGATTTGCTACAAAATTATATTCACTTCTTTTCAAAAGGATATCACACAACAAGACATCTTGTGCAGCCATCTAATCTAAAATCATAATTTTTGTTTTATATTCTCTACTAGTTCCTGGTATAGGGAATTACACACAGAGTCCCCACCTGGAGTACTACATCCAGCTCTGAGATCCCCTGCACACAAAGGGCTTGATCTGCTGGAGTGACTCCAGAGGAGGGACACCAAGTTGATTAAGGGGAGGGAGCACCTCTCCTGTGAGGAAAGGCTGGAGCATTTGGGATTTTTCATCCTGGAAAAGAGAAGTCTTTGGGGTGACCTAATTGTAGCCTTCTAATAGCTGAAGGGAACCTACATGAAAGATGGAGAGGGACTTTTTACAAGGGCATGGAGTGACAGGATAAGGGACAATGGCTTCACACTGAGAGTAGACTTACATTAGATTTTAGGAAAAAGTTCTTTACTGTGAGGGTGGTGAGGCACTGGAACAGGTTTCCCAGGGAAGATGTGGATGGCCAATTTTTGGAGGTGTTCAAGGCCAGGTTGGATGGAGCTCTGAGCAACCTGGTCCAGTGAAAGGTGTCCCTGCCCATGGCAGGACGTTGGAACAAAATGATCTTTAAGGTCCCTTCCAATCCAAACCATTCCATGGTTCTATGATTTTTTAATTGCTTTGCAAAGACCCTTCAGAAAAATGTTAGAGCTGTTCTATAACTACATCTACTGCTGTCATAATATGTTCAAAAAAACTATGCATCAAAGATGTATATACTGGGAATATATCATGTGACCTAAAAATTAAAGCTACTTATACAGTATGCATGTTTAAACATACATGATATGATAATTGACCAGTAATATTAGAAGTGATATCTCAATATTCTTCTCTAGTCCTTAAAAAATTAACTAGGAGAACCTTGTAGTGACTGTTCTGTTTATGTTTTAAAGTGGAAATGGCAAAATGGGGAGAGGGAGTAAGGAAAGGGGAAAGGGAGAAGGGGGAGAAAGAGGCAAAAACGAGAGAGGGGAGAGAGACACAGTCAACCTAAGCAAAAAGTTTTGTTACAGTATGAGACAAGGGCTATGAGGCTTCTGGTTTTCAACCAGAGACATGTCTAATTGCTACTACATCCCCACACAAACCTTCCTGTCTAGGTACTTCTAGGTCTACCCTAGTGGCCTGGGTTCTCAAATATTAATTCCACCACCTCACAATTCCAGGCTTCTTTCTTGAGAAAGAGACTAGAGATCAATGAATAAAAGCACTCACAGAGGTTTCCTGAACCTCAAGTAATTCACTGTAACCATAATGATCCAGTGTAAACCTTTCAGATAACACTGAAAATTTGCTTACATATTTAGTGGTTAAACAGTCTTACAGCAACCTTAATGAAGACGAAGACTATCAAATATTTTTCTCAAAGATTTTTTCAACTCTGAGGCAAAATAAAGCATCAAATCACTGTGAATATTTTCCATCATTCAGTGCAGAATGCTGTATTCAAATACTTCAGGCTTCAGAAATTTTCTCACTTTAAAATCCAAAAATAATTGAATTAAAAAACTCCACTTACTAATCACCGGAAAATCTTGAAACCAGTTGCCCCTATTTAAACATTAACAGCAGCTCAAAGTGTTTTCAGTAACTTCAGGCCAAGGAAGGCTGAAAAAATATTAGTGCTAAGGAAGCCTCCCAAAATTCTTACAAAATCCTGAACTGAACAATTTTTTGCTTGGCATTCCAACAGAAGGACAAACACCAGCATGATATACAACATTAGCTGCAGGAAATCAATGATCTAAAATCAATGATTCTAGGCATTTCACAGATTTTACTTATTTAAAGAGCCCTGACGGTCTACTGTCATGTCAAAGACATGACATTCATTTGAGGGCACAAGTTTCTCCATGAAGTACCTAATCAAAGACACATTCTTCAGCAGTTTGTCATTTACCTGAAAAAACATACTGGTATCCATTCATAACATTCTGCCAAACCAATATCTGACACAGTGTTCTTAAGGAAATGTATCTAAAAACATTTTCTGAGAAATTATTTATTCCTCAGAGTTTCGTGCCAAAATTTCAAGTGGCAGAATATGTTTCATACATAAATTAAATGCAGAAAATTAATTGCTTCGAACTTGGAACACTATACTTCTCTTTTCAACAGAAGATACTGGCAATACCCTGTTGAAAAACAATTATATTAAAACTGATCATCAGAGATGTAAAAATATGATTATTTGATGGTGAATTCATAATGTAGAACTTACAGAGAAACTGTACCTTAAAAACTGATACAAGCCCATTAAAATCTCAAACTATTAACAGGTTTTACTACACCAGAGCAACTGCATATTAAGCAAAATTTTAGAAGGCTTAGTAGCTAAATTTCTATCAGCAGTCGATGTTTAACATGTTTCTACAATATATTAGACCGTACTAATTATATCAACCACAAGAATTCAACAGTGAAAATTAAACTGTAAAGCACTTGGATGTCACTGAACAATCCATCCTTTACAAAAACAGAAGGGAAAATCACCTCTATTCCCGTTGAGATTTAGCCTTTCTAGCGTTCTTTAAAAAATTCCAGCTCATTTTGAAACATTATAAAAGAATAAATGCATGATGATTCATGTTTATCAACACACTCCATAATCCTTACTGAGTGCCTTCCAATTCAAGATCTGTGATGTGAAGCTAAACAGCTATGGGTATCCTACTACCTGTCAAGAATTAACCATGCATGTTTATGTTATTCCTCTGATCTAATGCTTCTCAGGTTAAAGTTACAATAACATTGTTCAAGGGAGAGGTTACTTACCCAATTCATTAATAGTTGCTCTCGCTCTTGAGACAAAAGAACTAACTTCACTTGAGTGCATTTTTGCCCTTTCTTTAAGGTCAGCACCTGTAAGTGACATTTCACACACACGTTAGCAAGCTCTATACAGTATTGTTAATGTATTTTCAAAAGTAAAATATTCCATCATTCATAGAAAATATAAATCTACTTTTAGACGAGGAGTTTAAATTGGTCACATAAATTTTCCACAGATTTCAAGGAAAGCATGACCTATTTATCCAGGAGAAAAAAAAAAACAAACAAAAAAAAAACAACAAACCAAAGACCAACCAACCAAACAAAAAGATAAATTATCATAACCAGATTTTCAAGAAGTATATTCTTCCCAGTGACATTTCTTCTTGTCATATTAAAATTGAGCATTTATGCTTATAGTTCATCTGACATACTATTTTATTTTCCCAACTGTGTCACAAAGTCTGATAAATATGTGGTTTTCATATTGTGCTCTTGTTATTCTTTTATTGGTAGATCATACAATACCTAAGGTGCATGGTTTTACATTAACAGACAGTATTTATCTAAATAAAAATCTACAGTGGACCTAGTACCATTTTTCAACTCAGTTTCAACTCATTTACTGAAATGTATTTTTGAATAAGTTACATACCATCATCATTTTTGCTCTTAAAAAATGCCACAGCTTGAAAATTTTTATCTATTTCTTTATGAATATATGAAAATTATTCTGTTTAACAAGCATACTGTAACTAGACATGTATACAAACGTTTTTAAAAATTCACACTGACATTTTCTCTCATGAGTGTGCAAAAAAAAATAACTGAGCAGTAATAATAGTAATAATAATAGCTAGATAGAGAAGCCCATCTTTCTTACAGAGGAAGAATACATAAAAGAGACAAAATCTGCATAGACACATTTATTCTCCAAAGAAGTGAAACAGTTACATGGCAACTGCACATATATTTTTTCTATTTGGTAAAAAGTAACCTATTGAGCTAGTCTCTAGGCATATGGCTAAATAAGGCAAATAACCAATGTTAAAAAAAAATAGTTTCATGTTTTTCTACCCTGAGAATCAAAATACTATCCATTCAGGAAAATGCACTGAACTCAGATTAAGTGAAGACTGTAGATTAGAATTAAGGTACACAGTCATAGGTTTCCCCTTTTACCTTTCTGGACTTAACTCATGCTAGGCCCTCCTGACCCTCTTCATCAAACATAGTTTTAGACATACTTTTATTGACAGCATTAGTTGTAACTCACAACTCTAGTCTAGCTCTGTGAAAATCAGTCTCTCTGACATTTTCTGATGGACATTCAGCTGTTGATTTACAGTACCAAGCCCAACAACTCAGCTCTACATTTGCCCTTTCTACTTCCATCATAGCAAAGCTCCTTATTTCACCAGGATTTCTGCTCTCCTTTTACCCATGTCAATAAAAAAACAATGAAGCATCAGTCCTGGCTGCAATTTGCATGTTTCCCACTAAGTAAAGTCAAGTTTAATCTACACTATAAGGCACTTTGCCAAAAAACTTCCACACAACCTTCTAGGATGTGCCCCAGCTGAAGACAGTATGACAGGACAGTTGACCAGACATACAAATATACGAGTATAAAACAGGAATTTCTATGGTCAACTCTGCACTGCAGCAAAATTGCAACTGCTACCTTGGCAATTCACAATCATTGCACAGAGAAATCTTGCCAGGAACCTGAAAAGCAAACAAAGTTTGCATCCATAATCTGGATAGAACTCTGATTCACATAAAACTGCAAGCAACTTTCACAAATGCATTTATGTATAGAGCTAAAAGGAGCTTCATGAAACTTCATGTCAAAACCTGCTTTAAAAGTTATGTCAGCAACTGCGTGAACAAAATATATCATCTATTTTTTATCAGTTAATGCCTGGTCTAGCTTCTACAACTCTGGCCAAATCATTGCCTTTATAAGAACAACACAAAACTGTGTGCTTTATTAACAAGAGAACTGTTTGGCTGTGTAATCTGACTCAAAGCTTCCACACACTGAAATCCTGCTTACTTGTCATACCCTTGAAAAGAATTATAAATAAAACATCTAGCATTACTGTTAATAAAATCTTCTGTCAATATATGATTAAGACAATTTTTAAGTTTTGATTTATTTAGACTAATGGAAAAATGGACTCAATCAAAAAACCTCAACCCTTCTAAAATAAAAAAATCAACAAACTGCAGACTTCTTCCTTCAGTTAGAATATACATTTCCTTGAAGACCATTACAGAAATCTATTAAATTTAAAAAAAAACCCTTGTGTAGGAATGGATTAATATGTACCTTCTAATTTAAAATTAATGATTTTAATTACTGTAAAGAAATATCAGATCTAAGTGCCATAACCAACTTTTGTAATCTAACATTTCCCTTTTTAAGTGTTTCTCCCTTGTAAATGCCAAGGAAGTGGAAAGAGTCCTTTCGGTAGCCCTTTTTCTATTTTAGCTCTCCAAAGCATAATAATAGTAACTGTAACTTTCTAAGGGAAGAATTTCAGTCAGAAGCCACTCCAAAAGAACACACGCCTTGGCATCCTCTGGTTCACAGGAGACAGAACTGCCACAAACTTAATAGTTTTGTTACTGTTGTAAAGATTTGACTTCTGGTCAAAGAATTATTAAGAATTCTGTGACCCAAATAGCAGAGAACTATTCAGATGTTTCTTCAAAATCTGTTCTCAAGTCAGAAGCAGAAAAGGCTAAGTTTCTGAAGCCAGCCATGAAGGGGACTGCAGATTCAACCGGAGACTTTGCTCTCTCAGCTACAGAAATCAAAGACCGCTCCTCTCACCCCAAGTTTTCTCCTTCAAAGTAGCTGAAAATAGTATTTGCTCAACTGCTGAGAGCAACAAAGCAGATAGGCTTTTCAAACCACAAAAACTCTGACACAACGAACCTCTGCAACTTTCCCATGGGCCACAGCTGAAATCTGTGGGCACGTTTGACCCAGCTGCTTCCCCCTATCCACTCCCAAACGACTCCAGGGGCTGTACTGTGGGTCTATTGCTCCCACCCACATTGAACACAGGGCTCTCTAAGCCCTTCTACCCAAGAAAGAAAGGGCAAACCTGAGCTACCAGTGAGCTGAGGCAAACTAACTGTTTCAGTTTTGATTACACACTGTAATTATGTCCCCACATCCATCCGGTTTGTACTGGAGCATGAATCATTGTTTTCTGGCACTTTCTGGCATCTCAGTGCTTCATCCCACTAATTGATTCTCATCTGCTCAGAATACTAACAAAAGCTAGTCAAAACCAACTGTGATTTTAGGAGTCATGCTCCCCAATTCTCACCTTCCTGCTCCCAGCACTTTATCAGCTCTTTTCTAAAGATTATAAAATGCCATTTTCAGATTACTAGCTGCTAGTACAGGACAAAAGAGAAGTGCCACAGTGAAAGACTACACTGTCAGTGCCATCAACCACTTCCTCCTACAGCTACATTAGGAGTTGGTCAGGTACTCTCCACTCGTGAATAAACTCCTATTGAATCAACCTAATTCACCGAAGTATCACTTCCAAATTTACACAGAAGTTCTCTCTGATAGGAGAGAACTTCCCTGCAGACTTCCAATGAACAGATCTGTTTGAAAAACACCAGTATAAACAGCAGTCTTTAGGATGTCTGCTGTACAGCAAGTACACACACTGGCCTTTCCAGATCAATTCCTGAAACTGATGTGAGGAAGACACATGCTGTTCTAAATACCACCTACACTTCTACTGAAGTTTGTCAATCCAAAAGGTAGAAATGTCTGTTCAATTTTGATCCATCACTTTCTTATTCCCCTCCTCCAACACTGGCAGAAAATAGGAAGGTTGGTTATTTTTTTTTACCTCACTTCCCCCAAATATGAAAACCCCGTCGGAATAACTCTCATTTGCATGGTTTTAAACATTACCCTACTCAAAGGTTAGTTGTTGTACACTGTCAGTTGAGAGAGTTTTCTCAGCATGTGCCTGACTTCCATTTCACAATGATGCCAGAGAAAATGTTTATTTGAGAAAGCCAAGGGCAAGCCAGCAAGATGAGCACATTGCTGTTATTCACCAGCATTTTTCCACTTGCAGGTATGTACGACAAGGATGGCTATTTAACTTAGAGAACATACCAAAGGAAACCAAGTTTTACAGTGATTACTCTGACCCCTCTTGCCTTTTTTGGATATTTTCACAAACTTTCTAAACATAATTTATATACTGTTGAAAAGCTGTGTGTTGTGTTTGAAAAATGCGTTCCAACATCTTTGTACAAGCCTCACTTTTTAAATACTGTAAATGCCTAGAAATCTTCTTGTACAGACCGTTCTATACTACTTCCAAAACACACCACAAAATCTCTAAACTAAAAAGGCACAAAATTTAAAGGTTTATATATGATACTTTAAAAAATAACTTTGTAAATAAATATTTTTCATTAAAAAATAAGTCCTTTAGTGAGTTGGCACACCAAAATTAAACAGTGAAGTTACTCTACCAAGTGTCAAAAGGTGTCCAAAGTGTCCTTTGTCTGAGACAATGGTACTACACTTTTTCTAAGAGAATTTCTCTTAATTTAGTGAGAGAAATAAGACATTTTGGCAAAAGATTTTACAGGAGTAAAATACAACCAAGAAAAGCATTTCACTAAAAGACTCAACAAAAAGACACAGTTCACAGAAAACACCCACTACAAACAATCAATATACCAGCTTTAGTAAAACACAATTCATTTAAGTTACCCACAAAAGGAGGAAAAGAGTAAAAGGAGAAAACAGATTAAAAGAGGAAAGAAAAAAGGAAGAAAGAAAGAAAGCGAGAAAGGAGAGGAAAATAGTTACCAACATCTTTTTTCTCCAAATTTCCAAGAGTTTCAGAAATAAAGCTTTTACATCCTGAAATCTATTTAGGACAACTTAACTCCTAGTTTTGAACAGTAACTGCAATACTTCATGAAACAAATATACTTATTTAGATACAGTGTCAAGTCTAACCCAAGTAAAACTTTGTTAATACAGTAACAGGCTATGAATATTATTCTATTGATATATATTTCCA